ATTGTGGTGATCTTACTTTATAAATGAGGTAGCTAAGGCTCAAGGCTGGGAACAGACTCAAAAAAAAAAAAAAAGTCCTGAATCACATTAATGGGAGAGCTGGGACTTGAACACAGATGCTTTGATTTTCACTCTAGCTTCTTCCTGTTAGAGCCTTCCTTAATCACTTTGGGGAGTCAGCCCTGCAAAGCCAAGCTCTGAGAGCAGAGTTGGCTGCATTTGTTTGTAAAATAATGTTTTGTTGGTACTTTTTTATTTAAAAAAAATTTTTTTTGTCATTTCCCTGTGTCTTCTTCTCTCACCCCCTCCCATCATAGATCTCTCTCCTGTAACTGATAAGGGAGGACCTCACAAAAGGGAAAAAGCATTTTTTTAAGCTCCTACTGAAAGAAAACCCCAAATGAGGTCACAAAGAGTGGGTCCCAACTGAAAACAACTGAACACTTTTCCTTTTTCCAGGTCCAGAACTCTATCTATTGTGCCACCTGGCTGTCTCAAATAAATATATTTAATCAAAACAAATCTGTAAACATCTGTCTCATTTGGCAAATTGAGTCTGCCACCTCTCTTCCCAGAGATGGGAGAGATGATTGGTTACTACACTGATTAGAGTTCTGATGCCTTTCATTACATGAGTGAAATCATTGTACAAGTCTGCCTATTTTTCTGCATTCTTCATATTCATCATTTCTTATAGCACAATAATATTCAATCACGTGTATACCATAATTTGTTCAGCCACTCTCATTACAAAAAGTGCTATGACAAATATTTTGGTACCTATGGGATCTTTCCTACTTTGACATCTTCAGGGTATGTGCCTGGTGGTCACATTACTGGATCAAAAGGCAGATACAATTTATTGGTTTTGTGGATATCAGTCCAAAAGTATGTTCCAGGAATAGTTGGATCAATTCACAACTCCACCAACAATGCATTAGTCCATCTGCCATCCTGTAGCCCAACATTTGCGATTTTCATTTTTTTATTGTTTTTCCAGAGAACTGAATTCTCCTAATGCACTATTTCCCACCGTTCTTGCTATCTACCTATAAGGACATGGTATAAAGCTTCTTTTAGATTTTGCCTTTTTCATACCTTAACGGGCATCATTTGCATATGCACAGTCCAGGAATTCAATGAACAGTCATCAGAGACAATGATCTTGCCTCCTGTACAAATTAAAGCCTCTGAATCTCCCCTCCCCCTACCCTGCCCCAAACCCGTTCATTTATATGGACAAGTAGGAGAAATTCATAAGTAAAGCCTGGGAGAATCTAGGATATCAGACATAGTTTGTGGTTATTGGGGAAAACAACCATTGCTTGGGTTATAACCTAGCCTTCAAAGAAAGACTGGATTTGAATTCTACCTCTGTCACTCTTGATTTCTGTGACCTTGGGCAAGTCATTTAATCTTTCTGAGCCTCAGTTTCCTCAGCTGTAAAATGAGGGACTTAGGCTTGATGGCTTCTGCGATACCTTCCAGTTCTAAATCTATGATATGGTGAACCTCTTTGTGTGTCTTTTTTTTTTTATCTGTAAAATGAAGAGGTTCGGGGCAGCTAGGTGGTGCAGTGGATAGAGCACAGGACCTGAAATCAGGAGGACCTGAGTTCAAATCTGATCTCAGACCAAACACTTGACACTTACTAGCTGTGTGACCCTGGGCAAGTCACTTAACCCCAATTGCCTAAAAAAAAAAAATGAAGAGGTTGGTCTAGATGAAGTCTAAGGTCTTAACTGTTTCTAAATCCTAGGACTCTAGGTTTCTTTCCAGCCTCCTCCCTCAAATCCAATGGTCTTTTCTCAATCATCATCCTTCTTGACTTCATGGCAGCCTTTGACACTGTTGATCACCTTCCTCTTGATACTCTCTTCTCTCAGGATACCACTGTCTCCTGGTTCTTCTATCTATGAATCCACTCCTTCTCTGTTTCCTTTGCTCCATTTTCCTCCAAATCATTCCCTCTAACTGGAGGTGTCCCTCAGGGTTCTAATCTAGGTCCTCTTCTCTTCTCCCTGTATACTACATCACTTGGTGATTTCATCAACTCCCATGGATTTAATTACCATCTCTATGTTTATGATTCTCATATCTACCTATCTTGCCCCAACCTCACACTGATCTCCAGTCTCACATCTCTAAATGCCTTTCAGACATCTTGAATTGGATGTCCAGTGGACATCTTAAACTCAATATGTTCAAAATCAAACTTATCTTTGCCCTTAAACCCTTCTCCCCTTCCTGATTTCCCAAGACCATGCTCCCAGTCTCCCAGGCTAGCAACCTAGATGTCATTCTCGACTCCTCACTACCTCTCATCCTGCATATCCAATCTGTTGCCAAGGCCTACTGATTTCACCTTTGCAACATCCTTTGAAGGGACTCCCTTCTCTTTTCTGATACAACTCAATACAACTCTAATGTGGGCCCTGACCACCTCATACCCTGATTTTTGAATAGCCTGCTGGCAAATCTTTCTGACTCAAGCCTCTCCCCACTCCAATACATTCTCCATTCATCTACTGACCTGTTTTTTCTTAAAGCTCAGGTCTAATTATGTCATCCTTTTATTCTACAAACTCCGGCAACTCCTATGACCTCCAAGATCAAATACAAAATGCTCTGTTTGGTGTTTAAAGCCCTTCACAACTTAGCCCTCTCTTACCTTTCCCATCTTCTGATACCTTACTCCCTGTTGTGAATTCTTTGATCCAGTAACAATGTCCTCTTGGCTGTTCCACAAACCAGACACTCCATCTCTCCACTGCAAGCATTTTGTCTGAGTGTCCCCCATGCCTGGAATGTTCTCCCTCTTCATCTCTACCTCCTGGCTTCTCCAGCTTCCTTTGAGTCTCAACTAAAATCCAATCTTCCATGGGAAGCTTTCCCCAACTCCTCTTAATTCCAATGCCTTCTCTCTGTTCATTATTTCCTATTTATCCTGTATATAGCATGTTTATATATATATTTGTTTACTTGTTTCCCTCATTAGACTGTGAGCTTATTGAAGGCAGGGACTGTCTTTTGTTATTATTTATGTTTCCAGAACTTAGTACAGTGCTTGGCACATAGTAGGCACTTAACGAATGTTTATTAACTGACTGACTCTCCATCCCCTCTCCCCTGACTCATTCTGGTCTTTTATGTTTACTCGCAAAGTTCCCCCAACCCTTTTTCTAGACTCCACTCAAATCTTCACCCTCAACTCACAATCATTCCCTCCAAGGAGCTTTTCCTGGCTGACCTCCCCTCCTGCACAGCCTTAGCCTTTTCACCTACCTTGAACTCCAGCAACCCTGAGAACCTAAACCACACAGTTGTTTATTCTCAGTCTTCTGATTTTCTTTCTATGTCTCTCCTAGGGCTCTGGAGCTACCTGGAGCAAAAGTTGAAGATCTCCCCTGATCTCCTCCAGGATACTGTTGAGGAATGTTAAGGGGTCCCCTGAAATTGTCTTTTTGAGTTACCCTATTTTCCAGAAACATCAGACCCAGAATATGCAGGAGGCCCTGAATGTGTCAAGGACAAAGCTCCCCCCAGCCCCTACCTGACATAATTTGTTGTTTGCACCTAAAACTAGACTTCCTGTATGTCCTTGGGAGTCAAGACAGGTGCCAGTCAGTCTGCACTAGACTGGGAAATTGCTTGTAGCTGGTAGTGACCACAGGTTCCCTGCTCCTGGTAGCTGTTCCCAAGGGAAAAGAATGCTACTTTTGCCATCACCTTGCTCCTCCCCTTTCAGGAGGGGTTTAGTCCTTTCCCCACTTTTTACTGCACCTTCCCCCCTCTCCTGCCACGCCCTGTTAGGTAGAGATTCCTGTTTTCTCCTTCCTTTGTCCTACTGTTACAAATATGTAAACTTCTGTATGAATTGTGAACCTTTGGGTTCCACATGCATATTTATTTCTCTTGGAATAAACCTAGTTTTCATGTAAATTTCGTGAGGCTGTGATTCCCTGTTGACAATACCAGGCCCTGAATTTCCTATAAAGTAAGAGAGTTAGACTATATGATGTCAAAGGTTGTAGGTAGCAATATCTGTGATTGGTGGGGAGCACATGCTAGCAGGAAAATTGATCTACCAACAAACATTTGATATCAAACATCAGCAACAAACTTAGCACTGATTTCAGCAGAATCCTAACCCTTTGTCACAACTTCCCTGGAACTGGGCCTCAATGAAGGCAATAATAGGGTTGAGGTGAGTGAGGAACACAGGGGCCAGCTAGATGGAGAGGTGGAAAGAGTGCAGGGATTGGAGTCAGGAGGAGCTGAGTTCAAACCGACCTTAGACAACTTACTTGCTGATGTGACTCGGGGTAAGTCATTTAACCCTGTTTGCCTCAGTTTCCTCATCTGTAAAATGGGCTGGAGAAGGAAATGGCAAACTACTCTAGTATCTTAGCCAAGAAAACCCCAAATGGAGTCCCGAAGACTTTGATATGACTGAGAATGGACTACGCAACAAAGCATGACAAACATTGGCTCCTTAGATTACCTTTTTTTCCTTCTGGCTTAAATTTATTTGCATACTTAACCAGAGGGGGTCTTGAGGAGGCCTAACTTTACTGTTTGACAGTTATTTATAATAGAGGTCTGTGATCTCTTCAAATAGAGGTTAAAAACCAAACAAAAAGAACAAAATCTCTTAATCTTGATGAGGTGATAGCGTACCACCGCCACTCTTGCCCTGATTTTATTAGCTCATTATGGTGGCAATCACCAAAAAGTTGATCCGCCTATCAGGCGGACAGAGGGAAAGTGGCAAAAGAGATGTCTCTGAAGACATTCTTTCCAATTCTGAACTGGCATTCCATTCCTTTAAGCTCAGAATTCCAGCCTTGACGTTCTAGAATTCTATGTCACATCTCAGGTCGGGAGGGCATCCTGGAGGTGGTGCCGGCTCCGGACTACAAGCCCCGGCCTGCCTCGGGCCGGGAGGGGCGGGGCCGGAGCCAAGGGAGCCGAAGCCCGAGCCTGGGCAGCAGCCGAGGTGCAGCAGGTACCCGGGCCAGGGCTGCGGCCATCACCATCGCGGGGCAGTGGGACGGACGGACGGGGGAGGCGCCGGGGTGAGACAGTGCTAAGAGTCGCCGGGCTGGCTGCCTGGCCCTTTAAATATCTCTGGATTTGGCGAGGGGGGGGCGGGAACAGCCCCCAGCCCCTCCCCCCCTGGGTCAGGGACCGCCCGGAATCCCCCAGATCCTGGTGTCTTCGCTCCTTAGCCCCAGGGCTGGGGTCTTGGAAGGGTCTGTCCTTCCGTAATCCATTCCCCCCCACGCACTTCCCAACCCTCCATCCACTTCCCAACCCCCATCCCCAACCGTGTCCTATTAAACCCCTAAATCCAGGACCTAAGCCTGCCAGGAATAGCCCTGCGGGAACTGACCGGGTCCCTGGCCAGTTGAAAGGCTAAGTGGAGGGGCAATGCTAGGAGGGGAAGGGTATAGGAATGGTTCAGAACCATCCCCTCCTGCCAGAATATACGGTGTTGGGGGGAAACGTAACCTCCATCCAAGCCCCAAGCCTAAGGAACTCCCAGTGAGCACCAATCCCGTCTAATCCTGGGGACATCACCCTCCACTGCCATTAATCTTGGATACCAGGCACGGTCCTCTTACCCCCGTCCTCGACACGCACCTGTCTGATATTCTTCCCTTCCCTCCCCCCCACCCCCCAGCATCTTGGAGCCCAGCCGATAGAGGTGGAGTCGGGGAGAGTCTCTGGACCTGAGGTGGAGGTCGGGTGGTGGGAAGTTAGAACCTGGTAAAGGTGATGAGGCCCTCCAGTAAGCAGCAGGGAGGGCAAAGCTGTTGGGGGCGGGGCGGGATAGTGAAAATAGTTCCAGCTCTGCAACTGAGTTTGGGCAGGTGCCTTCACCTCCCTGGATCCCAACTTCCCCGTTTGTCAAATGAAGTGCTTGGCCTTTTGCAAATCCATTAATGTCTCTGTGCCTCAGTTTCCGTAGATGTAAAAGGAGTGGGTTGCGAATTCTTAGTGCAGTTTTATACTGTATCTATGATCATGGATATGTATCTGCATCAATGTGTGTGTGATACTTTGTCAACCTTAGTACCCATACTCATGTTATGATGGTGACCTCTAAGCTTTCCCAGTTCTGACATTCTGTGTTCACATGTCTTGTCCATCTGAGGTCCTCCATGTTCTAAGATCCCCAAGCTCTGATGTTCTGTGTTTCAAGGATCCTTCCAGCTGGGATGCTCTGAGTTCTAGGATTCAGCTGCGTGGCACTGCCCATCTTACCCAAGACAGCAATGTCCTACAAGAGTGTGCTAATCACTGGTTGCTCTTCTGGCATTGGCCTGGCCCTGGCTGTTCGGCTGGCCAAGGATGAGCTGAAGAGGTTCAAAGGTGAGCTGGGAATATCCTGGGCTCTCTTCTCATGACCTCTTCACCTCTCTTGCCCACTTTTTTTGTGAGGGCTAGAGAGTAGGGCTTAGGATTATACACACACACACACACACACACACACACACGCCTTTCTCGGACAATCTGGTCACATCTGCTACCCCAGTCAGAAGCAGAAAGGTGCTCAGGACTTTTGGGGGACCCCATGTAGAGTTTTAGTGGCTTGTGTTATGAGACTTCAGGGCAGCTGCTGGTCTTCTCTTCCCTTCCTACCTCAAAGTGATTGCCACCATGCGGGACATGGCAAAGAAGGGGCCCCTGGAGGAGAAAGCTGGGGAGACACTGGAGAAGACGCTTCAGATCCGGCCCCTGGATGTCACCTGTGAAGACTCAGTTCGTCAGTGTGTGGCTGCCATACCGGACCAAAGGGTAGACATTCTGGGTGAGTCCAGCCCAGCTTTTGCCCCTAGGGTCTCCTAGAATTCGGGTTGAGGAGTTAGTCTTGAGGGCCCAAAGCTAAGGAGGCCCAGCTTTGAAGCCTAAGCTTGTGTATCTGTTGGAGGCAGTGGCGGGGGGGGGGGGGGGGCGACGGCGGTTAGTATGCCCTGCCTCCAACTTTGGGGGGGGTACAGTTAGCTTGCAAGAGAAATATAACTTGCTTATAGATTCTCAAGGTCAAGAAAGGACCTCAGAAACCATCTTCTCTAACCTCTAACCTTTACCCAACCTAAAACCCCTTCAGCCATGTAGCAAACCTAGTCATCCAGCCTTTTCTTGAAGATCTTTAGTGGGGGACAACCCCCTAACTCCCAAGGCAGCCCATTCTGCTTGGGAATGCTGGAATCCTTAGGAAATAGCTCCAGAAAATAAACATAAAACTGCCTTGTAATAACTCCCACCCACAGCACCTAGTTCCATCCTCTGGGGCCAAGCAGAATAAAGCTAGGCCCTCTCCCTGTTTCAGGCCTCCAAATACTTGAAGGCAGCTATCGAGTCCCTCCTAAGTCTTTTCATCTCTAGAATAACATTCCTCATTCCTTTAAGTGTTCCTGAAATGTGAGCTAGAACAGGGGTTTTTAACCTAGGGTCTATGAACTTAAAAAACCAAAATCCAAAACTTGTATTTCAATAAAATGGATTTCCTTCTATTTTCTGCACTTAGAAACATTATTCTAAGAAGGGGTCCTTATACTTCACTGGCTGTCCAAGGGTCTATAACACAAATCAAGTGAGGAACCCTTACCTTAGGGGCTCTTTCCTATCTTGGCCACCCCACTGTGGATGTTTTGATGCTTCTTACTTAAAGGAATCGAATTATAATAACTCTTCAAGTATTTCAAGAGCTGGGGAAGAGGGGTCTTGTTCTGTCTGGCTCCAGACAATGGATGTGTGTTGGGGTGGGGGTAGGAGAGAGGGTGAGTTGTAGAGAGGCAAATTTCAACTGAACATAAGGAAAATACTTCCTAACATGTGGAGCTGACGAGGAGAATATGCTACATTGGGGGGGATGTCTGGATGACCACTGGTTGGAGATGGCATCCATGAGGGGCATTCCTGCTCAGGTACAGCTTTGGACAAGACCTCTGTGGTCCTTTCCAGCCCTGAGCCCTTTCTTGTCTTTTCTTCTCCCTTCCCCTCTACCCTTTGGCAGTGAGCAATGCAGGGGTGGGTCTGATCGGCCCCCTGGAGTGTCACAGCATGGCGACCATACAGCGGGTACTTGACATCAACTTTCTGGGGCTGGTGCGGCTGGTCCAGGAAGTGTTTCCCAGCATGAAGCGGCGCCGCCAGGGGCACATTGTGGTCATGAGCAGCATCCTGGGCCAGCAGGGTGAGTCCTTGGCCCTAGGAAGTCAAGACAGGGAAGGGACAGAGGCCTCAAGGGGGTCAGGCTTGATCCCCTAGCTCACATTTCCTTCTGACCCCCAGGACTCCTTTTCAATGACGTGTACTGTGCTTCCAAGTTTGCCGTGGAGGGGTTTTGTGAAAGCCTTGCCCTGCAGGCGCTCAAGTTTGGGGTAAAGTGAGTGATGGGGTCCAGAATATGTGGGAGGAGGGTGGGGAGCAAAGGTCAACTCAGGGAGGAGCAAGAGACCTGGGCTTACCAATGGCTTGACTTCACCTTCTCAGGTTTGCCAAGGGCTTTCTTTGCACCAACCCAATGAGGCATGGAGTGTGTATTATTAGTGTCTTATTTACAGATGGGGAAACTGAGGCTGAGTGAAATGATAACCATGGTGAAGTTACCACATCACCTTTATAGGTCACACTGATTGTGCCACCTTGGACAAGTCCAGCCCAAACCTGGGGTTCATCCCATTAACACTGCCCACCCTGGATCTGGAGTCAGGACCTGGGTTCAATGCCTGGTTTTCCTATTTAGTTGTGAGACCTCTGAGCTTCATCTGGCTCATTTGAAGAACGAGGAGTAATAAGGAATGCCCTGCATCCCATACAGTGGTGCAAGGAGGACCAAATGACATAATGGATGGGAAAGTGCTTTGTAAACTCTCTGAAGTGGTCTACACTTGGGTCACCAAGCTATGGGGACTAATGTGCCTCTTATCCCATCCTGGGGTCACACACACATCCCTCTCCCCCATTCATGGATCTGTTCTCTAGGGGGTGGAGCTAGGAGTTGGGTGAGGGAATGTGGAGTCCCAGGCCCCCTAGCTCTTAGCCAAGAGGCAGCTGGAGCCTGTGTTCCCTCAACTGCCAGCATCAGCCTCCTGGAACCAGGTCCTGTGGTGACAGAGTTTGAGAAGAAACTGTATGAAGAGGTCGCCTCCATGGATTTCTCCAAGGTGGACGATGAAACTCAGGACATCTTCCAGGGCTTCTACATGGCCTACTCAAAAGATGTCTTCTCTGCCTTGGGCCAGACCCCTGAGGAAGTGGCAGAGGTAACCTTCCCCTGTACCCTCAGAGCCGGGCCAGCCCCTGGTAAAAACCCAGATGCCCCTTTCACTTCTCTCTAGATCCTGGAATTTGTCCCTCCGGGGTGACTAGGTATCACCACTCCCAAAGAATCAGCCCCAAGTGATGCTCTGCTCTCTCCCAGCATGCAGTGCAGGTGATCGAGGCATCCAAACCTCCATTCCGCTGCCAGACCCACAGCGTGTACACACCACTGACCACTCTAAAGCACGCAGACCCATCAGGCCAGCTGCCCCTCAGTGCTTTCCATCAGCTAGTCTTCCAGCATGACCGGCTCTTCCGGGCCAGTCTCAGCCTCCTGAAGATGCTACAATGGAGGAAGCGACGCTACCTGGGCCCTCTGCCCCGGCCCCCAGCCCCCCCTTGACCCCCCCTCCCCAGCCCCACCCACCTTCCAGCAGCCCCAAGGACCGAGGCTGGCATTGATTATGGTGTGTGTAGGGCAGAAAGAGGTCTTAAGGTCTTAAGACCCGCCCACCTTTTTCTCCTCTTCCTAGGCTGCTAGATGCCCTAGGGCCTTAGGAATTTTAAGTGTGCAGGGCAGGTTGGCTGGTCCTACCCCCAATTCCTATTGCAGGTGATGGCACATTTTCTTAGTCTCCTTGTCTGTTCCCCACCCACCCCCAAGTTCCTCCCAAAGGGCCAGGAGCTTGCCTTCATGCCTGGCCCAAATGACCGTAGACACAAATGTTACCAGCATGGAGGCAGGGGCTTGCCCGCAGCCAGCCCAAGCACAAGCCTAAGTGGATGTAGGCCTCCTTGAGAGAGGTCTTCATTGCCTAGAGAGGCCCTGAGGGAGGTGAATACTTTCCCCCTTCTAATAAATATGCATGTCTCTTACTTCAGCTTTGCCTTATAAAGCTCTGGCCTAAGTCCTATGGGGAGGAGTGGGGCAGGGCAAAGGAAGGCAGACTTACACAAACCACTTAGCAAAAAAAGACTGATTATTATACAGCAGGAGTGTGTGTGTGTGTGTGTGTGTGTGTGTGTGTGTGTGTGTGTCTCGGGGATGGGGGGACTCTCCAAGGCTGCCCCCTTCCACTCACCAGGGGCAGTGGTAGTGAGGCATTGCCTTTCAAACCAAGGCGGGGAGTTCCCCCATTTCCCCCAAACCGAGTTCTCCCTTCTCCCTGCTGGAGGCCTTGTCCTGGGAGGGAGAATGGGGAGGAGTGTAGAGGCCACAGAATGTGGGCAGCAGACGGTATGTGCTACCGAAGCCCCCGGACAACAGGGCACACAGGGTCTCAGAGCGCCTCTCTGCTGGTGGCTGTTTTGTTGACCTTGGACAAGCCTTCCCGGAGCCCAGATTCTGTCATCCTATCAGAGGAAAAGCATGTAGAGATGGGAGTTCAGGAGCTGAGAAACAGGCCCCTCAATGCAGCTGACAACTCCTGGTAGTCGCTGGGTCAGTGTCCCCCCACCCCAGGCCACTCACACTTGGTCCATCTGTACATCTTCCTCATCATCCTCCTGGGGCAGCTGTAGGTAGGGATTGTTGGAAGCTGGGCGGAACTTGTAGCCAGTGAGGATGAAGAACACCAGGGTAGACACCTCCACCAGCAGCTGGGATGGAGGGAGGGAGGAGTCAATGACCAGTCTCCCAGGTTCAGGATGCTCCAGGCAGCATCTGGCCACTGGCCCCACTCACCTCATACAGCCACTGCCACTGAAAGGGTACACTGACCCGGAGTAGGACAGCCACGATTCGACTGAAGTAGATGTAGCACACCGTCTGGAGGCAAGTTACCCCAGGGAGAAGGACAGAGAAGGGCTAGAAGAGGGCAGCTCCCGGGAAATGGATGGACAGGTAAAAATGGGCAGCTCCCAGGGCATGGATGGACAGGTAAAAACGGGCAGCTCCC